AAATATAGTTGTTTTTGTTAGTAATGTAATGAAGTTAAATGTGTTGTTAAAAATTAACCGCAAGTTGAAGTGGACACCTCTCCAACTACAATTTTATTTCCAAATCGACATGTCACACCACATGTTGCCCACATCAATTAGTAAAAAAAAAGTTTTAATTTTAATTTTTCCTATTTTATTTTTAGTTCCTTCTGCTCCTTCTAATGAAAAGACCTCCATTTATATATGTCATCCTTCATCTTCATCATCAGCGTCGCGTAAATCAAAATCCACAAAATATTAAATCCAATGAAACCATTTTGTTATTTATCTGTTCTGATTGCTCCACAAACAGGTCATCTTATCTTCTCAGTAAACACCAACCCCATCTTCTTATCGACACGTTCTTCTTCCCTTTGTTTCCAACCAATCAAGCAATCACTGAAGCTTTTCTTGTAAAACCAATCAAAATTCACCCAATCAAAATCACATCGAAGCTTTTCTTTGGTTCCCCCAATTGAGCTAGCGTATGGAGAATTCAAAATCCTATATAGGAGTTGAGATTTAGATTAGGTCGGTTCATTACTAATTCCTCGTTACCGACCTTGTCTCTCTCTGTGAGAATTCAAAATCCTATATAGGAGTTGAGATTTAGATTAGGTCGGTTCATTACTAATTCCTCGTTACCGACCTTGTCTCTCTCTCTTTCTCTCTTCCTTCAATTAGCTCGAAGCTCTATTGAGATTCCTAAATATAATCTTGTTAAAAATAACATGGTTTGCAAATCTCAACCTCTAGAAGCAAACGACTTTGTTCTATCGAAGTCTTGTATATCTAAATAAAGAAATTGAATCATGGTGAAGGAATAATATAATTTTAGAAAATTTGAGTTGAAGGGTGCTCATGAATAATTTAGCTAGATGTTAAAATGTATTAAGAGTGCTCGTGCAACTTGCTTCATGTTTTGTGTTTTGTCGGCATCGATTAAGTCGCCGTTTGGAGCATGCTATTCTATCTACGTCATTACCTTACCACCATAGCATTTTCATGTGTTATATTGAATTCCAATGTGAAACTAGATGAGAACCGACATAGATTTGGATTTTGATTGACGATGAGAGATGGAGAAGTAGTGAAAAAGGTAAAAAGGGTTGGAAGAAGACGTCACGTGACCATTCATTTGTCCATCTATATTTTTTTTACAGCAAAATATATTCTTTTTTCTCTCCCTCTTTTACTTATGTTACTTAGAATAAAAATGTTGAAAATCGCAAGTTGGCAAGTTAACACAAAACTGTCTCATCAGTATAATTCTTTATATTTGTCATAAAAATGACTATATTTGTCACAAAACTCCATGTTTTAGTTACACATATGTATTATCTCTAAATAAATATTTAATATTAATGTTCGAAACAATTCTAATATCAAAATTAATGTCTTTCTCTAAGATATAGATAACTTTCAGGTAAAATATAAATATGAAAGCGTCAACACCAAATATGTTTCTAGAGTTTAATCAAAGACAATAATTCAATTTAGTCTAGTTGGTTGTTATGTTTTTTTTTTTTTCATTTAGGTGACCAATAGTTAAAATCTCAATAATAATTTTTTTATATAAAGGAAAATTGGACAAAAGTAACCTTTCTAGAATTACTTTCATATCACAAAATTTGAAAGGAAGGTTGCTGTTTTCCATCTCACAATCCAGTGATCATTGCCATGGACTCTATTAATGTTCCTCGTGTACGAAGCTCGGAACCAAAGCAATAACCACGATCCGATTCTTCAGTTCTAGAAAGAAAAAGAACCGAACTTTCCCATTTTCCAACCCCCATCGTTTTGTCTTCTTCTTTTGGAAAATGGTAACGGTAATTATGGCTAACATAATAGCTTTTTAGCCGCCCCAACCGACTCAAATCAGAAAATCATCATGAGGAAAACATAAAGAAGATTACAGAGCTACAAAGTGGGTTCGTGAAAAGTTGTCATGATGCAACTCACAGCACTCCTCAACTCGACTCTTTCCGGCCAACAGTCCATCTTCTTCTCGATTCAGGATTTTCTGTTTAAGAGCGGCGCCAACCACAATTGACAGGACTGATCAGTTCGTTCATGTCCAAGTACGAGAAGACCCACAAGCTTCGTTGGGTCTCGATAAATAAAACAAATGTTTAGAAATCGAAATTTATTGTTCAGCCGGATCAAAAATATCGGATATCAAAATTCAAATGATAAGGCTGATTCCAATAGGTACCCCATTTATGGGGGAATCTGCAAAAATGAAGGAGGAGATGGTCCGGTGGGGAGGTTTGGGCCTCCAAAAATGGAGGATCCTGCAAATGGAACCCCAAATTTGGAGGTGGAAATGGGGATCCCCTCCTAAAAAAAAAAAAAGAAATGGGGATCCCCAAATATAGAGGCTCACCAAAGCCTGCCATGTGACTTTTCTTTTTCTTTTTAAGATTTTAGGAGTTAATTGAGAGTTTAATTATGGGATTAGTTTGGGATTTAATTATATCAATCATTTTTCAAGTGTTGTGTGTAAACTCAAATTAGGTACATAATTTTTTGTCAAAAAATTCGGACTCGGAATTAAACAAAATTCTATCAAAAAATATGTATTAAAAAATGATGACGAACTATACAAAAATTAACATGAATAAATTATATTAAGGCTACGATAAGTACATTTTTAAGTAAATGAAAAAACTGGAAATATTAAGAACCCCAAATATGGAGTTTGTTGCATTGGAACAAAAGAAGGGAAAATAGAGTTCAATCCCCAAATTTGGGGTTCAAGGCCCAAATTTGGGGTTTTGCATTGGACTTGGCCTAAGCGAGTTTAAATTATGAAATATGGATCTCGAACCACAAGTTTATTACAAAATACCATACAACTGAATTTTCTGATATAGCCATTGGCAGGGCTGTCTCTTGGAGTGTGTTGGGAGGCCCTAACCTACCGCACATGACCTCCAAATTATAGGGGCCTCCTGAGTCCCGAGCCTCTATCATGTATATAGCTAATTATTATTAGAGTAAATACAAGTTACTAATCAAATCTTTCAAACTTTTTCTTTTGAAATATAAATAATTAGCCAAATGCTTTGTAAAGCATAAAAATAATAGTAATTTGTCTATTTTCGTCAATAATTTTGTAACTCTTTTTTAATTAAATACTAAATTTTTAAAATTTTGACGGCCACGTGTTGTTAAATAAGCGTTACTAACAAAATTTCTAACTGGGTTTGGCTAATATTTTGTATTTCGAAAGGTTTGGCTAATAATTTGAAAACAAATTAACTACATTAGGGGGGAACTTTTGTTTTGATTTTTTTTTTATTCAATCACCTATTCATGTGAGTTCGTTTAATTTCTTAAAATTCCACTTTGTTATGGTGACTTGCAAGTCACCGTAACTTGGATAAAATGGTCGACCTATTCACTGTTGAGTAGGGATGTCAATCCAACCCGTAACCATGGGTACCCTACCCGACCGTAATCGGTCAACGAGGGTAATTACCCGCTTTGACGGGTTAAGGGGCGGGTACGGGTGATACCCGGTTTCAAAATAAAGGGTAGGGTACGGGTATGGTAATCGATAATACCCGCCCCGCTAACCAAAGGGTCAATTTCCCTTGAGAAATTTAGTTTAGCTTGAGAAATTTAGTTTAGTTACCATTATTGATGATGAAGATGTAGACGATCATTATGTTTGTGTGGATTATAGAAGCAAGAACAATTATTATGTCTTTGCTGTTTTTATTTGTGTGGATTGTTGAAGCTAGAACAGTTACAAGTATTGAGAATTTTTAATGGACAACATTATGTATGTGCATATATGTATATAAGTTCATAGTTTAGGATTCGTACCCATGGTTACCCGAATACCCGTGGTTACCCGGTGGGTAGGGTATGGTTATATAATTTTCATACCCGGTGGTTATTTGGTCGGGTATTTTAGAAGGCTTTACCCGGCGGGTTAGGAGTTGGTATAGGGTAAACCCGCACCCGACCCTACCCATTGCCATCCCTACTGATGAGGTCGACCTATTTGGACAAAACGGTCGACCTATTCACTGATGAGGTCGGCCTATTTGGACAAAACGATCGATCTCTTCACTGATATGATCGAAACCCGTGGAATAGGTCCTTGGTCGCCACTATATTAGCAATGCCATTTCGGGCTATAATTGGCACGTAATGGGGTAGTTAGTTAGGTCGTGCAAACAATTGACATGACCCTTACGGGGTTTAACCAATAGCATTAAAACTTTGAATAAAAGTAAAGACATATGTGAGGCCATTTTTTAAGTGAGGTAAGAAATATTTGGAAATGGAGAAGATAAAAGGATTAATATGAACAAATTTGGAATAACAACAAATTTGGAATAATCACTAAAAATGCAATATACGTTAATAGATAAAATGGTTGTTATAATTTCCATTTGAAAGTAATTTTGATGTCACATTAATATATATAAAATTAAAATTTTCAAATAATTGAGATAAACTTTGTGATACGATTTATCCAAATAACATTTCAACCATCAGTCCAAGTAGCAGATTAATAATATAATATAAACTTTCGCGTAAAAAGCCTTACCATTTCAAATGTATTCTTCCTTCCACATCAAGAGCCTCATTCAACCAATCACAATTAGTTTTCACAACACAACAAACCTTTTCTCGGTAAGATATTGTCCACTTTTGGACCCTGATATTCACAATTTTTTCCTTGGAGATTAATAAATAAGTACAAAATCAAATGGTACAAAAATACAAATTCATTGGTTACAGAGAACCAATTACCTTGACAAAGCATCGTGTAATTAGGTTCTCACATCAGAGATCAAAATTTATTGACGGAAGGCTTAACATCTAATATGGAAAAGCTCATTGATATTGTGTCAAGAGTTAGATGAAACAATAGTGGGTCTCAATAAATACACAAATTATGTTCATATTGGGTTTCTTAATTTTAAAATATAAATCAACTAAAAATTGTTTAATTATATTTTTAATAAATTATTAATAACAAAATTTATCCAACCAATGAACGCGTACAAAGCTGGAACAAGTTAAAAGAATAAAAAGAAACCCATACATAGAACATCACATCTACAAACAAACTCAAGAATAAAAGAAGATAAATCCACATAGGCGGATTATGCAATTGGCAAAAGGATGGTTGAAGGCTTGAAGCATGCCAAGCTTGAATATGGCTTGTAGTTAAGAAGGCCCCGCCATTCATCTTCTTCGCCATTTGTTTAATGATGCCTGCCTTGTGGGTTATTGGGGTGGTGGAAGAAGCCAAGCAAATCTTCCATGGGCAGGCCAATTACATCAGCATTAATCATACTTCAATTTTTGGCGGCTCTTTAAAAATGGTCTCTCTCTCTACTTATTTACAGAAAGGATTCATCTCCTTTTCAATTGGCTACATTGACAGTAGGGTTTAAGGCAAAACATTCCTTTACAACAAGCAAATAGAAAAGGTGATACCTGGAGAGGAAAACAATTGAGGGTGATAACTGAGAACATGGGTCGTGGAGCTTCCTTCATACATGATTTTAGGGCTTCATCGTTAATGTAGTGTGAGTAGAAAGCGGTATTTTATTTGCCTGCCTTGGCCTTCGCTTCAGCAGCTGCAGCTTTAACAGCAGACTTGGCTAAAGCAGTGGTCTTTATTGCACTTTTAGGGTTAAGCGCCTTCCTAATTTTCAATGCAGCCCAAGCTACCCCAAAGGCATGCCCTGCAGCACCAAGCCCTTCATTTGTTGCCTGCCCTGCCTCTTCACCATACCTGCAGCAACCAACATCACCAATTTCACTCTCAAACTTTCTACCACTACCCGTTTGCTGATATGCACGAGCTGTCGAATCAAAAGCACTCTCTATGCTGTATTATGAATCAAAGCTCCTGAAGCATAAAGGTATTTAACCTGTGGGAAACGATATCGGTTGTGACATCAGATGATGTCGACATCACACTCCTTCCAGCTACTTCAACAGCATCAAACACCTTGCCTATTTCATTTCAATTAGAAAAGAGACTGAATCCATGTTCACGAAAAAAAAACCCACATCCATAAACATTTTTGTAAACAGTTCATTGCATCTAAAACTTACTGAATCCATCCAAAGATGCAAGAACGATTTCACCAGGCAGAAGGCTCAACACTTTCTTGCCCATCATTGAGTTAGCTAGTGTGCTGGTGAAGAGCCCTGTTACTTTAATAACACCAGTGAGCACCCCGTTTGCTACTTTCTCAGTCAGTTGCGTCATCCGCTTAACCCTGCAACATCAAACATTTTCCCATCTTTACTCAAACAATCCTAACAAAGAAAAACCAACATGAACAAATATTCTTCTCCTCCCACCCACCTTCTAATCCTATCCATGGTTTCTGGACTGATCTCTGCGCTAGATTTGGGACTCATCCTTTGCTTCATCGCCTCGTTCCCCTTTTTCAACCTGTCCACAGTAACATCCCCACACCACAAAATCCCTTTAATTAGTTGCGCTGATCCAGTTGCAATCATCCTCGCAGCGCTGCTGCTATAATCTTCAACATTGGGCGCCAATGTCGTCCAGTAAGCCGCACAATTCCCTTCCATCATGGCTTTGTTCTTCTCCGACTCCAATTCCTTCGGCGAGATCTCCTTTGCCATCGAATCATCCAGCAATGCCTCTCCTGACATTTTCTTCGCATTCTCCGAAACTCTTTGAATGGAAAAACAACAGTAGGTCTTGAATATCTCATCCAGCTCCTTCAATATCCCTTCCTGCCCTTTGGAAGCAATCGTCAATCCGTAATTCAGAATCTCTTCTTCGTGTTCTTTCTTATCGGCCTTCCTTTGATTCTTCGTCGTCTTCTTCTTCTTGGAGTCCTCATCGTCGCTCGAATCGGAGTTCTGCTCTTGGGGCAAGCAAAGAGAGAAGAAGTAATGCGAATCGTCAAGCTTCACAGCGGCTCCTTCTTTCCCCAATGGCCATTGAATCTCGTCCCCAACTCGAGCTAGAACCGCAACGATGTTGTCGCCCTGACGGAGGAGAATGACGGTGAGATCGCCCGAGGCAAGCTCAACGCTGTAGGTTTTGTCGACGAGATTGAGAATGGCACCGGGGACTCTGATTAGCAATTCCTCCGACGCTGAAGGGGGAGCAGAGGGGGAATATGGCTTAGCGTCAGCTTTAGGCTTTTTGCCAAATTGTTCCGGTAAGAGATTTTCGGCGAGGTCCCGGTTGTCGATAGTGGGGTATAGATTGGATGACGAGGAGGAAGATGAATTGTGATTATTATTCGCTTCCGGATTCGATTGTAAAACTTCTGGGTATAGAGGATTTTTAATTTCGTAATTTGGGTTCAGAGCCGCCATTGAAGGATAGAGGAAATGGCCGTCGAGGGAGAAACTTTGCGGGAAGGAAGAACGGGAAATTGTGAAAATATTTTGGTGGAGTGAAATCTTTTTTTTTTTTTTTATAGAAAGCCTGGTGAATATTATTAATAGCTTCCGGCCCCAAGGCCCACATCATCCTCAATAAGGCATCTAAGATACATGGGAGGATTATCCACCCAAACTCGTTGTTGATTCCAACTCAAACCCACATGAGCTAACCTGTGAGCCACTGAGTTGGTTTTTTTTGAAGAAAATACCCACCTAACCTTATCCCCAACCAGAGATTCATTGACCGATGCTAGCTTCCTCAGTTCATCACACAGGACCCCCAACTCAGTGAAGTCTTCATTCCCATTCTTCAGCATCTTCACCAGCAATTGACAGTCAGACTCAACGATCAGCGGCCCTATTTGCCGGCGATTGGCCTCTCTCAGACCCATCACCATCGCTCTAGCTTCTGCTTTGATCGGCCGGCACGCCTCTTTTTCTTTCTTGGCCAAAGCACCCACAAAAGCCCCCCGCTCGTGCCTGAAGATACAACCTATGTCGATTCCCTGCTGCTGAAAGACACCGGCGTCGGTGTTGAGTTTAACGAAGCCCACCGGAGGAAGAGACCATCGACCATTCTGAGTGACACGACCAGCTGGAGGCGAAATGGATATCTGGGGGTCAGAGGGAGACTGAGCAGCAAGATACGACGATAACCAGCCCAGCGCCCGAGGGACAATTTCATCCTCGTCCAATTTCCGATTGTTGAATTTATGATTGCAACGCTCCTTCCACAGGTACCAAAGAATCGAACTGAACCTCTGAGCTCTGTCTTCTGGTAGTTTCTGAGAATCGTACCAAGCCATTCCTTGCTAGTCTTACCATCACCTAATTCAAAGAGCTCCTTTTCTTCGCAGTCTTTCCAACGTCTCCTTATCTAGTCGCAGTCCTGGAGAGCGTGCATCTGGGTTTCCACGAGGTTGCAGAAGGGGCACTCCGGGGCCGCCTTATCACTCCATTCTTCAATATTAGCTCCCACGGGTAAGATTTCTCTGCATACTTTCCACAAAAAAACTCGGACTTTAGGTTGAACATTTAGCTTCCACGGGGCTTTATCTCAGAGTCCTCCTGCTTCTTGGTGTGAGACCTAGTCAGATACCGAGTATGACTCCTTCGGATGAAGTAGTAGGCTGATTTCACCGAATAAATACCATCTTCCTCTGCCTTCCAAACTCTGGAATCATGCACAAGAGGGGTTTTTAAGGGGATCTTAGCAATAAGATTCTGGTCATTGATAGAGAACAAGGTTTTTAACTTTTCCATATCCCAGCCCCCTGAACCATGGTCAATTAGGTTGCTCACTCGATCTTCAGTGGTTTCACCAGTAGGGACCGAATCAGCTTGGTAAAAGCTTTTGCCTGGGATCCATTCATCCTTCCACATAAGAATAGAATCACCATTACCAACTCTCCATCTAAACCCTTCCCTGATCATTTCCTTCGCTCCCAAGATGCTTTTCCAGATGTAACTTGGTTGATAACCCAATTTAGCTTGCAGAATATTTGTCTTAGGGAAATAGCGAGCCTTCAACACTCTAGCCATGAGAGATTGCGGTCTAGTCAGCACATTCCAAACTTGTTTTCCAAGCATCGCATAATTGAAAGATCTCAAATCGCGGAATCCCATACCCCCCTCTTCTTTATCATCGCAAAGATCATCCCAATCCAGCCAGTGTATCTTGAATTCTTTTCCTTTTTGCCCCCACCAAAAAGTCGAGATCAAACTCAGAATTTCCTTTAGGGTACTCTCAGGGATGTGAAACACAGACATGGGATACAGGCATTGAGCCTGATCAATAGCTTTGATCATTATCTCCTTTCCAGCAGCAAACATAGTTCTGCTCTTCCAATCCTTAAGCTTCTTCCTGACCCTCTCCTTGACCTCATCGAATATAGCCTTCTTCGACCTTCCAACAACAGTAGGCAAACCAAGATACTTTGGCAGCTTTTCAACCTCTTTAATACCCAAAGTTCCACATATCTCCAGCCTCCTGCTAATCCTCACGTTTTTTCTAAAAGAAAGTTCAGATTTAGAGAGATTTACCATTTGTCCAGATTTTGGCATAGGTTTTCAAGATTTCCTTCAATCGATCACATTCCTTCAAAACCGCTCTCCCAAAAATAACACAGTCATCCGCAAATAGAAGGTGAGAGATGGTTGGGGCCTTCTTCCTCATCTGAATCCCATGTAGACTTCCCTCCTCCTCGGCTTTCTTAATCAAACTCGTGAGGCCCTCTGCACACATAAGGAATAAGTAGGGAGATAGAGGGTCACCTTGTCTCAGACCCCTAGAAGGATAGAAAATCTCAGATTTGTGCCCATTAACTAGAATAGAATAGGAGACAGATGTAACACATTTCATCACAAGGGCCACCCATCTTTCCTCAAAACCGAGTTTCCTCATAATACTTTCCAAAAAATCCCATTCAACACAGTCATAGGCCTTGGCCATGTCCAATTTAGCCGCAAAAAAACCATCTTTCGCCTTCTCTCTTCTCTTTATATACTGAAAACATTCAAAAGCAACAATGACGTTATCCGTAATAAACCTTCCAAGAACGAAGGCACTTTGTTCCTCTGAAATAATATCATCTAGAATCAGCTTTAGTCTATTTGCCATTACTTTAGATATAACTTTTTAGATCACTCTGCAAAGGCTAGTAGGTCTAAAGTCTTTTGCAGTAGTAGGGGTTTTCACCTTAGGGATGAGAGCTATAAGAGTGTGGTTCAGATCGGTGGGGAGATCACCACCAGTAAAGAAGTTCTTGACAGTCTCAATCACCTTTAAACCCACAGCGTTCCAATTCTTCTGGAAAAAACCTACAGAGAAACCATCCGAGCCAGGGCTCTTACTTGGTCCCATTTGGAATAGGGCTTCTCTGATTTCCTCATCACTTATGGGTTTTAGAAGGGATTCATTCATGGAAGATGTCACTTTCCTTTTAATCGCATTAACCACAAGCATTGTATCAGGGATATTACCTCTTTTGAATAGGGATTTGTAGTACTCATTGATACACAAGGTAACCTCCTTCTGACCTTTGAAAAGCCTACCATTCTCATCTCTTAGTAGTTTAATAGTGTTCCTCTTTCTTCTGGCCGTGGCCTTGGCATGGAAGAATTTCGTGTTCTTGTCTCCCCCTTTCATCCAGTCAGCCCTAGAGCGTAGTTTCCACAGTTCCTCTTCCTGCATTATTATGTCACTTCTTTCAGCTTCCAGAGTTCTTCTCTGTTCGAGGATAGCTTCTGTCTTTGGTTTATGATTGAAGGTTTTGAGAAGCTTATCAATCCTCTCAATCTTTTTTCTAAGATCACCAAACTTCAGTTTGCTCCATCTCAGCAGTTCTGACCTGCAACTCATAAGAATAGTCTACAGATTTTCATTAGCATTGTCTCTACAAGCCTTACTGACTATAGCTGCACTCTCGGGATCCTTTAGCCAAAAAGTTCCACTCGAAAATACCAGCCCCATTTAATCTCATCTTCCTCTTTTCCAGCAGTATAGAGAAGGATAGGGCAGTGATCCGAACCACTTCTTTCAATATGAACCACTTGATGATTAGGGAACCTAGATTTCCAATCCCAGCTAGCCACACAATGGACGGGACAAATCTGAATTCACATTTATCATCCCAAATATAGGGGGCTAATTTATGTTTTTATAGAAAATATAGTACGTTAATAATTTTTTCCCAAAAATTCTTAAATTTCTTTAAATGTTTCCATTGCCCTTTGTCTATTTTTTTATTTAAAGGCGATTCTTGCAAGGTTTCTCTGCTAATCGGGTCCCAATATGTCTTTACCATGGTGCAAATGGATTCTCTACCCATCCCAACTAGAGGTGGCAAATGGATTGGATTAATGGATTGGTGGATCTATAGATTGGATCAAATGGATTGGTGGATAAATAGATTGGATCATGGATCTAGGTCACATCTAAAATTTGAATCAATATGTATTTTTGAAAAGTTTAGGTACTAAAATGGCATAATAAAATATTTTAGCTACCAAAATGTAATTTTCCAATGATATTTTCCATCAAAAATAAATTTTAGGTACCAAATTATAAAGTATATAAAATGTAGGTACTAAATTGTAATTTGCCAACAATCAATGAATCCACCAATCCAATTGAATTTGGATAAAATGGATTGGAGATATTTAAGTGAATGAATTTGATTGAATTAGTGGATTAGATACAAAATTGTCACTACTAATTCTAACTATGGTTGGATCGGGATTTCAACCACAGTTAGTAAATATTCCGTTTGATACATGTATATGTACCCTTACGTATTTTACCCATTTAAAATTCCATATTCGTATCATTGTCAAGCCGTTTCAATTTTTTCCGTTCCTTTGGTGGCTCCCATACTAAACGCGTATAGAACCCGTATAATATGTTTAATATCTGTATTTAATTAATTAAATTGTTAAATTTACTATTATTTATTTATTTTTAAAATAAATAATTTTATATATTTATGAATATTAACGTGCTACTAAACATAACATTTGCTTAGAGACGACGTAAAATACCCATACATATTTTATACGTAACTTTCCCGTACCGTATTTTACTAACTAATTTCCAGCCCATCTTTGCCAAATTTTAGAGTGGTCCCTGGCAATGCAAGAACAATCCCATTTTTGTGCGAAAGTGGACATTGGAAATTCAACCCATCAAGATGAGTCTTAGCTTGTAGTTCTTCCTATTTGGGTTCGAATTTGTGGTTTGCCATTGGATTACCTAATTGTTTATGGTTTGAATAGGGTTGTGAGCTTGATTGACACCCAATTGTAGATGGATCTAGCCAAGAGGGTTGGGGCTCACATAGGTGTTGCTAAACTGTGAATTGAGATTGCGGCAGTTTCATCATTTCCAACTAAGCTTCGTATCAGGCCTGAAGGAGGTGCTACTATGACATTGCCTGTCGAGTATGTCAGTATATGCTAGTTTGATGCACTTAATGTGGTCAATTTGGTCATGAAGTTGGGGA